ATTGTCGTTGACTAGGGCCTTGAAAGTTGTTCACATATTGTACCTCTTCCTCTTGGTCATTATAAGAACCATCTTGATCAAATCCATTATCATCTTGCATAAAATTTTCCACTCTTTATTGCACTTGTGGACCTCTTGTTCTTCGCTTGTTCACCATCATATTTACACCCTCCATTGCATTTAAGTCAAGAAATTCGCATGATAAGGGATCAAATAAGTGAAGTTTCCTAACAGTTCCATAGCCTCTCGAAGATAAATACAAAAGTTTCTGTACCGATCTGTGAGATTCTACTATTCCTGCTTTTGACACGTAAAACCTATGTACCTAGGGCTTTGATACCAACTTGTCACTGACCAAATTTTCCTCTGTAGGATGTCGTGATGGAACCTAGTCTCTAAGAGTAGGTAAGCCTAACATTCAGGCAGAATTTAACTGAGAAAATGATAAAAACTTTCAAATAACTCAACAACTAACATAAAAGAACTCTGCAACTCAACAGAATAAAACTCCCAACATCCGGTGATACCAAGTCCCGTGCTCTACAACAATATACTAAATATCCCCATACAACATTATCTATAAAAAGGGAAAATGAAATAGAACTAGGTAGAGGGTGACTCCGAGGCCCGCAGACGCCTGCAGGTATACCTTGAAGTCTCCATATCTAAACTCTACTCACTGGTGCCTAGGCTGGTAAGGCTACCTGGATCTGCATAAAAGGATGTGCAAAAGTGTAATTTTGGAGCCTTAAGGAAGTCGAAATTTTAGAAGAATATCTAAGACCCATATGAAGTCAGGAATGATTAATAATGATGGTTAAGGTGAAATAAGGATAATTATGTTCCTAATTATGACTTGCAAAACATTCGAGGACGAATGTTCTTAAGTGGGGGAGAATGTAACACCCCAGAATATTTCAAAGAGTTTTAAGACCATTAAGGAGATTAGCGGGTGCTAATTATATTAATTCGGGTATGAACAAGACTGATAATTTGAATAATATTAATTGATATTGATAATATATGTATGAGGTGAATTAAGAACGTTTATGGCCTAAAAAGAGCCCTAAGGCTAAGTCAAGTTGAAAATTATATGATGGGTTAAAGTTTCAAGCAAGTTCGCATAGGATCTAACTTCAAACGAGCATAATTCTCAAGATATGAAGAGTTATATGGTGTATAACCTACGCAACCGCGTGGGTCTGAACACGTTCGCGTAGGTTTGAGGGGCAATGGTCCGCGATCGTGTGAGTGTTTCCGCGTTTGCGTAGGGAAAATGTGTGGGCAGTCTGCTTGTGCATCGCGATCGCGATTAAGAAAATCTGGGCAGCCAAAAAAAAATGTGCTTCGCGATCGCGAAGCATTGTACGCGATCACATAAGGTAAAATTTGGACAAACAAAACTTAAGTTCTGGAAATGGGATTTCGATCCATTTTCAACCATTTCCAATTTTTGAGCTTGGGTAAGGCGATTCTTGGGCGATTTTCACTGGAAAATATTGGGGTAAGTATTCCTTATCCTATATTGATTATATTTCATAATTCCATACTCATTTACATCATGAATCCGTGAATTTATGGAAGAAAAATTAGATTTTTATAAAATCTACCAAAAACAAAAATTTAAGATTTAAAGGTCCATTTGACATCGGAATTTGATAATTTTTATATGATTGGACTCACAGCGGAACGGGTGTTCAGATTTCGCAAGTTTTTTCGGAATTTGAGACATAGATCCCATTGTCGAATATTTAAATAAATTTTGGATTTTTATTCGAAAAATTAGTAAATTCATATGGAATTAATTCCTATGATTCGTATTGAGTATATCGAATTGTTTGTGAATAGATTTGAAGCTTTTGGAGACAAATTTAAAAGGAAAAGCTCTGGTCGAGTAATTGATTGAAATCTGCAAAGCAAGGCAAGTGTCGTGGTTAACCTTAACTTGAGGGAATAGAACCTTAATTTATTTGTTATGTGAAATGCATGAGAACGACGTATAGGCGAGGTGACGAGTGTCTATACGTCGTCAAATAAATTATTTGCATAATTATTTGAAAATCATAAATTATTCTAAGACACGAATTAATTGTTATAATAATTATTTCTCTCTTATTCTTTGTCAAATATTAATTCTTAAATTCCTGCAATAATTATTACATATTATTTGATTTATGTGTCTTAACTGTTACTTGACATTTAGCATATTAAATATTAAACTGCCTATTTTCTCTATGATTTCCATAATAAATTGCTATTTGTCATTGTTTGTTTCATAATTAAATCATAATTATTGTGTGCTTGTTGTCTTATAGATTTTATATTAATTATTGCATTTATTGGGGCAATTTCTTTTATAAGAATTGATAAATAGATATATTGGAGGAGCGGGTTGCACGCCGCAACAGAATTGATTGAAATGATTATTGGAGGATCGGATTGCACGCCGCAACGGAAATGAAAATAATATATATATATATNGTTGATTACAAATAAATATATGAGAGGATTGAAAATGAATATATTGTGGGAGCGGTTTATACGCTGCAATGAAAATTGGTTGAAATAATAATGGGTTATGACTGCTGAGTTGGCTTCAATTATTATAAATGAGTTAACCGATTTATTTTTATTATTTATTGTTGTTACTAATATTGCGTGCAGGTTAATGTAAGTGACCTGCCTTAGCCTCGTCACTACTTCGTTGAGGTTAGGCTCAGCACTTACCGGTACATGGGGTCGGTTGTACTGATACTACACTCTGCACTTCTTGTGCAGATTTCGGAGTTGGTCCCAGCGGCGTACCATAGACTTGCTCGGATTTCAGCTACTCAGAGGAGACTTGAGGTATAACTGCACGGCGTCCGCAGTTCTAAAGTCCCTGTCTACTTTACTTTAGTTGTGTGTTTGCTTCCAAACTGCTTTATTTTATTTAGACCTTTATTTGTATTATTCTAGAAGCTCGTGCACTTGTGACACCAATTCTGGGATGGTATTTAGACTTCGTTATTTTTATGGATTATTCACTACATTTCAGACTTTACTTCCGCAAATTGTGTTTTTGTTATTAATAAATTTAAAAATTATTTTAAAATGAATTATATTATTCTAACGTTGGCTTGTCTAGCAAGTGAAATGTTAGGCGTCATCACGGTCCCGAAGGTGGGAATTTCGAGTCGTGACAATATCAATTCTATTTATTAACTAAATTAATTTATTTTCAGGAAAAAAAGTATGGGCGTCCAATGAGTCATGATGAGCTATTCAAGGAGACATATATTGTTAAAAAGAAGAAGGAGGGGGATGGAGATAGGTGGGTCGAGGACCGGGCAGAGACTGCATATGTAAGCTTTTCAATTTTCTTTAAGTATTATAATTTACTTTTATAAGAATTTTTAAATACTAATTTAATTTAAAATAATGTAGGGTCACTACCGAAGTAACATGGAGGAATTCAATCGTAGTCATCCATTTGGTGAATCGGGCGAGCCAAGCCAACCTTCGGACGAGGATGCTGAAAGAATATGGTTGGAAGCTGTTGGAGGTCCAAAATGGAAAGGTATACGGGCTTCCTACGAAAAAATTTCATCGCTATAGGTGTGGAATGCAAGGAATAGGGACTTCCTCACAAGGCGAGGAACTTAATAGGGAGAGCCTCTCGGCTATGCGGGAGACAGTGACAAAGCTTACAGCCGAGCTAGAAGCGTCCAAGGAAAGAGAAAGGCTTAGAGATGCTCAATTCCTTGGTATGCAAGCTCATATCAGAACTCTCCTATCTACTGAAGCTTTTCCTTTGCCCCGGTCTCGTGAGTCATCGCCAGAGGCTCGACCTCCACGTGATCGTTCCTTCCGTCCTCCCCGTGATCGTTTTTCCTGTTCTTCACAAGACCGTTCTCTATACCGTCTTGTAGATGAAAGTTCATCAGACGGTGTTGATGATGTTATACAAAACACCCCTTGATCAATATTTTTAAATACTTTGAACTAGACTAATAGAACCAGTTTTGAATTAGATTGAACAATTTTGAACTTTGTTGTAATTATTTTTCACTTGGTTTTGGATTTTTATGTTCAATTGAACTTTAATTTGTTAGTTTTAAAGTATTAATTGGATGTTTGGTTGTTATTGTCGTAGTTGTTGGGTTTTTGGTTGGATTTGTGGTGATTTGGTGGCTGTTAGAGTTAAATTGGGGGTATTGGTATGTTGTTTTGATTTGGCAGGTGGTGTAGCTACCAAATCAGGCATTTTCTGCTAAAATTAAACCCAGAAAACCGACCAACCTTAGTGAGTTACTAAAAAAAAAAAATTAAATTGCAGTTTACCGACCAATTTTGGTTGGTTAATGTACAATGAATTCCCAAAATTCAACATTACCGACCAACTTTGGTCGGTTTTCTGCCTACCCAGTCCAGTTTTCCGACCAAAGTTGGTCGATTTTTTTAAATTTTAATAATTTAAAAAAAATATCTTTCAATACCGACCAACGTTGGTCGGTACAAAAAATTAATAAATTTAATACACCGACCAAGCTTGGTCGGTTACGTTAAATTAATAAAATAATATTCCGACCAATTTAGGTCGGTAATCCTATTAAAGTGTCAGATGGTGGTGTAGAGTATACCGACCAAGGTTGGTCGGTAATTTCCGACCAACTTTGGTCGGTATTCCTTTCCGACCTCTAAAATACCGTCCACACGTAAATGGTCGCGTTTTGGACAGTTATTGGCCATTACCGACCAAAGTTGGTCAGTTTTTACCGGATTTCTAGTAGTGTAAATATGGAATTTGTAATTTTGAAAATAAAACAAGCTAAGTTATATGCTTCAACAGATACATAATATATAATTTGAACTGGTAAATTAATGTGTCCATAATTCAACCTCTCATATGCGCGTGCGCATAGAGGTGGGTGGTGGGGTGGGGTTACAGGAATAGGGATGAACCATCTTAAATATTTTGAGTCCCAGTACGTGCTATTGTAACTTGCAATTTACTTTAGCTTTAAGAGTTAGCGCCGGCGGCGTCATCGGCCGTCAACTTTCTCTCCTTACAATACCTCGTTGACAGTTGAGACAAGAGGATATATATATAAGAGCCCCATTTCAATCAAATTAAAGAAAGAAAGCTACAGCGAGAGAGTGCAAATTAAAAGATCATTAAATTCGTTTAATTTCTTGGGGTCAACTGTGGCCGCAATTAAGGATCGGAGTAGAGTTTCGCATATGGCTTCATCAGGTGGTGTTCCGCCGGGGTTTAGGTTTCATCCAACAGACGAAGAGCTTCTTCATTACTACTTGAAGAAGAAACTTTCATTTCAGAAATTTGACATGGAGGTTATCAGAGAAGTCGACTTGAATAAGATTGAGCCTTGGGAATTGCAAGGTACGTAACGTGTATATAGTGTTAGTATTTACTATTTAGTGAAGCTACTCTCAACAGATTTTACTACTTTGGTTATCAACGAGAAACATATTTCGCTTGTGTTAAGACATAGCTTGTATATTTTTTGTCCATTGAGACATAGTATAATTCAGTTATTAGAAGAGTGATTTCTCTAATTAACCGCTCAAACTTTTGGATGAACATATGCGTTTTTAATTATTTGTTTTTGATCAGTAAGAATAACATGAATTTAATTTTTTTTTTTTTGGAGAATTGCCAAGAAACTCGAAGCCGCTACTGTTCGGGTGCGCACTGGGTAATATACTTATTGTGCAATAGCTCGCAAACCACACACAAAATATCTTTTTACACTCGCTGAAAAGTCTAAAATTTATTTTACTAAGAAAAAATTAACTACCAACATCACATTATATATAAGTCTATTAACCAGCATATTCCTTCTGTAGCCTGTTGTTAATAAGGACATATTAATTCAAGGATCGGAGAGATCACTCTTATATATACTACTCCTACTTGGGCGCGTTTATGTAGTTGTGCTAGTAACAATTCAAGATTTCTTAGTTATTATTGTGCTGATGTACGTAATAAGGGGAAATTAAGTTTAAGCAAATCTTATATTATTGTAAGTAAGATTTTCATACAGCGTTTCTTGTACAGAGAGGTGCAAGATTGGATCAACACCGCAGAATGAATGGTACTTTTTCAGCCACAAGGATAGGAAGTATCCCACAGGTTCAAGAACAAACCGAGCAACAAATGCTGGATTTTGGAAGGCAACAGGCAGGGACAAATGCATAAGAAACACATTGAAGAAGATTGGTATGAGGAAAACCCTAGTGTTTTACCGAGGAAGAGCTCCACATGGCCAAAAGACTGATTGGATCATGCATGAGTATAGGCTTGAAGATTCCGACGAAAATTCAAGTGTAAGTGATTGCTTCATCTCCCTTTCTTCCCAAACCCGGCGGCGTTACAGTTCTGATTATGGGTTCGGTGAATTCAATAGTTGTCCCTGTAATCGTGTTAAAAAATTCACATATTATGTATGAATAATTTATTTAAAACTTAATAAAAAAATCTTTAAACTCGAAATCCTAGTTCCTTCTCTAATTCAAGGGATTACAAATAAAAGAAAAGTTTTCTTAGAAAGAATAATTTATAAGGCGACTAAAATAAGCATGCATGTGGCATACATGCATGCAATCATGTGCATGAAAGTCAAAGTAATTAAACGATACTAATAACAATTCAATTAATTAGTGACTATCTTGACGATCGACTTTTTACCACAAAATCAGAGACTGTCAAGAAAATTTCCATCTTGCTTGCTTAGGAATTTGTTATCCATAATTATGACTCAGCGGAATTCTTGAACGACGCAAGAGGCTACTAAATGAAACAATATACTAGGATCATTACAATATTAAAGTTATATACACTTAGTGGTCGACGTTTTTCAATCTTACTAATACATGTATTAATTATACACTATATTCAGTACTATTTTTATATATATTGATGATCTTGTATACTAACCGAGTCCGCACTCGCCCGAGAACACGTACGTCCTCCCTGTAATTGTCTTGTCTTTGTTATGGTTTCAGGGCCTACGTCTACCCGTATGGAGCCACCATCATTCGCAAGGCTTGCTTTACATTGGACCCGATGTTGAGCCTCTCATAGCCTAGTACCGGTGAACTAGGCAAGCGACCCTGCAAGGCAGCCAGCCTTTCTGCAAAATCAATGTCCGCCTCGCCGCTGCTTTCGGGTGATTGGAGAATAGCTGTAAGGAATACTAAACGAAAGTATGCAGCGAGGCAAAGCCGATTGAGAATATGACGGTTAGCCCCTCGGCGCTTGGGAGGCATCCTATTTAATAAAGATTCTTCCTCTAGTCGAATAGAGTATTAGTCCGCTCCATTATATTCCCCATTATTTCACTTTCTCGCTATTCGAAATATCATAAGAGAAGAAAGCTGGCAGGTTGGATCCTAGGGTAGATTCCTGCTGTTGAATGATCGACTAGCTTCCTCTTTAGTTCTTTGANACAAATTAAACCATAACATTAATAATACCATGATTTTATGTATAAGCATATAAAAGATAGAACTGTCATTTCAAAGCCTTTTTCAAATCCTTTCCATAAAAATGTGGAGGGTATTTTATAAACAATTATTTTCTTCAAAAAGTATTATGCAAAATGTACCAAATCAAACAGTCGATAAAAAATAATTCCAGCATTACTAATACTATCATATGCAATATTACTCTTATAAACCCTATCAAACGACCTATATGTAAACATTTTTGTTACACCATCAGTATAATTTGAGTTCTTACAGAAGCCGGTTATTACTTACAATTTATTCTAGGTTCTTACCGTATTAAAATGAAGTAATTATCTTTTAAATATCATGATTATAAGAAAGCATCAGAAGTTCTTCTAAATTGTTAGTAGTACTATTGTAAATGTACAGGAGGATGGATGGGTGATTTGCAGGGTATTCAAGAAGAAGAACCTATTCAAAGTAATTGGAAATAATAATGAAGGTAGCGCAGCCTCATCAGATCTACTAAACAACACCTCAATCCACCAACCTCGAACCAACTTCACACACAAAGATAGCCCATATCTACTACAACACCAACAACACGGCCATGACCATGGCTTAAACTATTCCCATATTCCTACTGCAGTTGCTGCTACTTTTCCACATGAGTATAATTCACACAATAATAATATTCAATTAGCACAAAACTTCATGTCATTGGGATATCATCATCCTCAGGACTTCTCATCTGGACCTCTTCCTACTTCTCAGCAGTCTGCACCTTGTGAGTCCGGTTTGGAGGTAGCTAGTTCTCATCAGAATATGAATAATGATCAGTGGGGAATGATTAATGATCGGCTTGTTGAGGATGCAAATGTTGCTTCTTCTTCTTCTATGAATCAAATCAATCACCTTCCGCTGCGTGGAGAGATGGACTTTTGGAGTTATGGAAAGTAATTAATTAAACGACTATATATGTATACATAATTGTTTGTATTATTCCTAAATGGATTACTAGAGTTACTATACAATTAGTTGCGTTAATTAGCTCTAAACTATGTATAGATATTGAAGAAACAGCACACTTAATTAATTACTTGTTGGTGTACCATATTGTTTACCCGTAAAACGATACAATTGAATTTATACGTGGTTTTCAAACAAGTAAATTGATTTGATCCTGAAATAATAGATGAATTATATAGATATGCAATACTTAGCCTTGAGATGGAGACAAAATAGCAGAAATAATAGTTCCGGGAGCAGGGCTTCTGGGTACAACAACAATGAAATCAAAAAGTAAGAAGATAAGATTATATTAAGCTTTGAATAGAGCGTAACGTATCTTTGCCAGAAAATTCGTGTCCCTTACAATGATAATAGAGCTCACTATTTATAGTTGCACCTAGGGAACAAGGTCCTAGGATCAAGCCCTTATTTAATGTCAATTATGAGGGCCATTGAAGAATGTGTAATAGCGGGCATGAATGCCCTATTTTTTGTAACGGGCACTGTACTTAATGCTGTAGAATATTCTTCATTAAATGCTACCGAGTGTTAGGCATTTATTTCATCTTTATGAGTATCATTCTCTCCGGTAACAGATGTGAGCACCTAATTTTTGACCATGCTTGATTTTTTTCTCACTCATCTCAAAAAGAGGTGTGACAGCTCACAGAATAGTTGTCTTCGAATTTCAGCTATCCTCTGCCTTCGGCTCCACGTGTCACTTCATTATGCGATCATTTAATATAACATATTTTATCCTATACAGATAGTCCCCATGTTTTCTAGTGGCATAACTTTGTGTCACCGGAAAGTTGGTAGAAACATTCTTTTTGGCGGAAATTTTACTGACCCCCTCTGAAAAGCTTCTGATAGTTGATTAGACGCACATCTCTCTGCATTTAATGTCCCGACCATGGTCATCCCATGATTCAGCATAACTTTTGTCGGGTATCGAGGTAATTATGGCCACGAGTTTAGTTGCCTAAACTTTTACTTATACGTATCAACCTCCTTTATTCACATCTCACAATTCTCCAAACTCTCTCAAACTCTCTTCATTCGACTTGTACTTTGTTCTTCAACCTTTCTTTAATTTTCTTCATAAGAGAAAAGCTTTTCCTTCTTCTCTAATGCAGAATGACTTCTTCCTCTAAAAATTTTAGTTCTTCAAAGAACAAAAGCAAAGCCGATGAAGCTGCTCCTCCTACAGTGAGCACCATCATCCCCAGAAGTCTCGTCACAACTAAAACTTTAGAAGAGAAATTTTCTTCTACTAACCCTCTTACATGGGTCGTTGGCAGATACCCTTCTTCCAAATGTCCTTCCAGTATTCCTGCTGTGAAGGAAGATTGCCATTGTCAGGATTTAGACATTATCACTCCTGATCTGGCGGAGCGGGTAACCTTACCCAAAAAGGATTTTACGTATTTCTATACGTATCCCTTCACTTTGAGGACGTTTTGTCCGAGTGGAGAGCTTGACTCCGTCATTGTGGAGTTCTGCCTCCGCTACCAGGTGTGTTTGTCACAAGTGAGTCCTTCCGTGTGGAGGACGATTGCTTGCCTTCGGCGCCTGTGCCAGAGGAGCTATCCCTAGCTCATGTGATGAACCTCTATTCCCCAAGATCTTCCGTGGGGGAATGATTAACTTCAGTAAGCAAGGCCACTATGCACTGCTATCCAGCATGGATAATGATAACGACCGTGGATGGATGGAACGATTCATTTTAGTCGCCACCAGTGACATCATCCCGGGCTCGGCTCCGTCTTTTCCGGATTATAGAACCGCACTCGTAAGTATATTGTTTGTTTTTTCTTCTGATAAAGACTATTCCTCATCATTATTGACTTTTATTTCTTTACTTCTCTCAGTGACTCGATGGGTTCCCCCTAGGGTTGAGAGCCTGGACCAATAGGTTCAGAAAAATTTGGACGTTACTACGCCCGAAACCCGCACGTGGAAAGAGTTGTCCCTGAAATACGGGTGGAAGACCAAAAATCATGGTAAGTCGAACTCATCTTGTCTTTACCTTTTCTTATAAGGAATTTGTTTGATTCTTTTCTCCCGCTGAATATAGGTCTACCCCAGGGCTCAGTTGTCATCCCCGAGGAGGGTGTTTTTGGCTGATCCTGCTGATGCAGCAAGGCTGCTGCAAAAGGCTTTTTCACAAATAGGCGACTCCGGGCCTGCTTTTGGTGCGAGTGTTTCTTCTTGGAGTCCCCGGCCGGAGAACAAGCAACAAAAAAGAAAGCTTGAGATGGAGACAAGTTGAATTTATACGTGGTTTCTAAACAAGTAAATTAATTTGATCCTAAAATAACACTACAAGAAAAGTGCTAATTACATGACGATTTTACCTGGGGATTTTATTTGCAGATAATACCTGCGAATTTTCATGGGAAACATTAGATCTCCTAAGTTAAAATATTTTACCTGCGATAAATATTTTCTTAGGAAAATCTGTAGGTAACTTCGGCGTCATTATGCGCCAAAGTATTACCTGGGAATTACCCGCAGAATAAATCGGCAAGTACATTTCCATAGGAAAATCCGCAGGTAAGCAAATAAAGAAAATGGAAAAAAATTCCTATGTTAATCCGAAGGAAAATCCCTAGGTAACTCTACATGCGACTTTAGTTGGGATACTTTCTTGGGGATTTATCTGGGGATTTGCTTATTTGGGAAATTACCTGGGGATATTATTGTTGCGGATTTAGCTGGAGATTTATCTGGGGATTATCTTAGCTGGGGAATTACCTGTGGATATTAGTGCTACTAATTTAGTTAGGGATAGTTTCTTGGGGATTTACCTGTAAATTTTCTTACCTTGGGAATTACCTAGAGATTTGGTTGATGTGAATTTAGTTAGAATTTTTTTTCTTGGAATTTACTTATTTGGTGAAATTACATATATTATTGTAATTTTTGCTAGAAATTTATTCTTGGTAATATAGCTTGGGATTTACCTAGAAATTTTATTACCTAAGAAATTAACTAAAGATTATTTGTGTGGTTTTAAACAAAATTTGTTTCTTGAGAATTTACTTGAGTATTTCATTATACGATTTTAATTGGGTATTTGTTCTTAGGATTTAGATAGAAATTTTATTATTGTTGTTTTAATTGGATATATAATATTTGAGAATTTACCTGAGGATTTTATAACTACATATTTAAGTTTAAAATTCTTTAAATATTTTTAAAATATTATTTGAATTTATAAGAAGATGTTATTTTTTAATTTAAATATTATATTTTTCTGAAAGTTACAAAAACTTGATATGTAAAAAATATCCATAGGAATTAATTTTATCTATTATAATTATCGATTTTTGTGTAGGTAATGTAAATTGTTGATCCTATATAAAATTTAATGATGTATATAAGTTTGGATTAGGCATTATAAGTCATTAAGCATAACATAGTCGGTTATTACTTTTTCAGCAAATTCAATAACAAGATAATTATCACAAAGTAAATTATTTTAAGAATTAAAAATTTAATATGGTTGATATAAAGAATATAATAAAGCTAAGATACGACTATATTTGACATATTTCAACTAATATCATAGGACAATATATTAAATGTAATTAAATGATTGACACCTATTTAAGTTTAATTTATAAGTAGAGAAAAATTACGTTATATTTATACAAATGTAACTAAGTTTCATTGACTTTCTATATTATGTATGTCATTTACATGTATTTGATTAGATAAAAGTCAATTATAGCATATATAAAATAATATAGTTTGAGATTGTTAGTATTGAAACTTAATAACGAATAATCTTATAATTTCAATTTCTAACATCATCTCTTGATCAAATCCCACCATTATTAATAAAATAACTTAATATGTGTATTTTATTAGGATTAGTGAAATAATTCTTACTATTTATCATGTACAATGTATTTAATTCTTGTTAATTAGTGTATTTTTTATAAAGAAAAAAAATTAATATGTTATTCAAGAA